GCAGGGATCCTGTCTTTTGGATACAGTTACTAAAATAGAGTCACAGGGAGGTGTGTGTCTTTCTCCAGGCCATGGATATCAACAGAACCAGTGGGGTGGAAGGCCCTTTATTCTCATATACCAGCATGTGTGGCAGCCTTTTCCTAGGCAGGAACGTGCTGAAACATCCACGCACATGCGAGATATATTCATTCATTCAACAAATGCTTGGTGACTCCCACTTCATGCCATGCACTGTGCTGGGTGTTGAGAATACAGCAGGGAGCAAAGTAATCATGGTCCCTACCCTAATGTAACTTACAGGTGAGTGAGGGAAACAGCAAGAAGTAAGAAGCATAAGAAGTTAGGAAAGAAAACAACAGGCTTCTCTGAGAAAGAAATCAGAAGGGTCGTTAGTGAAGGCCTCTCTGAGCAGAGTCCATTCAGACAGAGCCCTAAAGGTTAAGTAGAAGCCCTCTGTGCCAGAGTGGGGGCCAGGGGCGTTTCAGAGGGAAGAGTTTGAAGTGTGTATTAGAGAATCTGAAATAACACGGGAAAGACCAAAGTGAATTGATTCTTAATGGAAGGTCCTAAAAAGCATGTATTTTCTCTTTCAAGCCCTTGGAAGTAACACTGTAGGCCTGGAAGCTATGGCCACACTGGCTACCACCCCTATTCCCACCACCTGCTGCTGTTAGGGGTCATTCTTCTTAAATGCAAAATAGAACTATCTTCCATTCTGCCTCCTTTTAAAGGAATGCATGTTAGTTGGAAAAATAAAACAATATAAAAGCATATAAGATATACTCTTAAAGACTTAGCATGCCCCCAAATACCATCATCCCGTGCAATACCATTATTAACAGCTTGGAATCTTATTTTGGATATTTTCTATAAACATAAAGTAATGTAAAGTCTGCACCAGGAGTTGGCAAACTTTTTCTGGAAAGGGCCAGAGAGTAAGTATTTTTACTCCAGATGGTCTCTGTTGCCACTGCTCAGCTCTGCTTCGTAATGCTAAAGGCAGCCACAGACAATATGTAAACAAATGGCTGTGTTCCAGCAAAACTTTATTTACAAAACCAGGCAGCCACCGACCTGTGGGCTGTAGTTTGCTGATCCTTGTTCTATATGAATGAGATTGCACCATAGGTACTCATCTGTAATCTGATTTTTTTGTATGTGAGCCCAAGAATAGATCTTGGACTCCTTCCCATATCAGTATTCAAAGAATAGTGCTATTCTTTTAAAAAGCTGCTAGTGTTTCAGTAGATGGCCCTAATCCACCCTTTGTAACCAGTTCCTTACTGGTTGAATGTTTGGGTTGTTTTCAGATTTTTGCAGTTTTAAGGTTTGGAAGTAAGCCTCATCTATTAGGACCAGAGAAGCTGGCTCTTCTCGTTTTCCTATTTTGAAGGGCTTTGGTTTTATTTATTAAAATCACCATGATGTTTTAGTCATTGAGTGTTATCAATCACAGCTGAGCTCTGGTTTGGCTGACTAAAGACCTGATTTTGGTCTTAATTCTACCTCTAAATAGCTGAAAGACTTGGAAGACTCATTTAGCCTCTCTGATCACCATATTCCTCATCTATAAACTGAATATGAGCATAACTGGCCCTGTCTTCTGCAGAGGGTATTGTGAGACACAAATGAGATAACGGTTTGGAAAGTGCCTTGAAAATTATGAAGTGATATTCCTATGTAAGGGGCTATCATCACTATCATTATCCTTGTCATTATTATTAATGTGGTAATGCTTGGGATGATGAGCTCATCTTTCTCTTACGTGTGAGTAAATATAGAATAGAGTCTGTAGCTGGAATCATTGATGTGGTTGTTGATTTTCCAAGCCTCAAAGTATTCAGCCAAACAATTCAGCAGCCATTTATTAAGCCTCTGTTATGTGTCAAATAGGGCCAGCCTTGGTGCCAAGTTCTGTGCTAGTTGCCAGGGTTATGAGAAGACTAAGTGATGAACCCTCTCCTCCAGGAGTTCAGAACCTACTAGAAAGAAATACCCTTACCAAAGCTACCAAAATAGTGTGATACGTGTTATAACCAGGGAAAGAAAAACAGAATTCTGCCAGAGAGAAGGTGGCATTAAAAGTGTAGGAGTTTGCCACACAAATAAGGAAAGAAAGGACATTCTGACATCTGTAAAATTCTGGGCCAGTCATACCCAGCTAGGGTCCAATGCTGGTGCAGCAGTTACCCAAAAACACAGTTGCTTAAACGAAGTAGACGTTGATCAGCCTTCCTATAAAAGAAATCTGGAGGACAGAGCCCAGGATTGATAAGAGAACTCCACCTTGGCTCCTTGTGTCTCCCTACTCTACCATACTAGTCCATGGATCCCATTTCAAGGTTATTTCAGATCCATGATGGCAACTGAGGTTCCAGCCATCATGTCTGAGTTCTAGACTGAGAGAAGGAGGAAAGATGGAAAGAAGGAAAGGCCAATAGGCATTTCCCTCAGCTGAGTCAACTTCCCTTAAGCAGCCTTTTTAGAAGTTCCACAATAATCCACTGAAGATATTTATTAAGTGCCCACCATGTGACAGACACTGGAATACAGCCGTGAACAAAACTGAACAGCTGCCCTTCTAAAATCTATATTCTAGTAGAGGAAGACAGAAAAAAATAAGGTCAATATAGAGTCGATGAGAGTATTAACTGCAGTGGAGAGAAATATAGCAGAGGAGAGTGTTGGGGGCATTGGGGAGAGGAGTACTGCAATTTTAAGTAGCTGCTCAAAGAGTGTCACTGAAGGCGAAATTGAGCTAAGTCCTGAAAGAGGTAAGAGAGGGAGCCACAAAGACCACAGGCCAGTGTGGTTGGAGCAAAGCTAGCATAGAGACGACAGGAGCTGAGGTCCCAGAGGGGACTACTGGAGCCACATGTGCAGGGCCTTGAAGGCCTGTTAGGATTTTGGTTTTACCCCGAGTGAGACAGGAGGCTATTGGATTGTTTTCAGCAGACATGATCTAACTCGTGTTTACATCTCTTTGTCCAGACCTAGCTGCCCAGGAGGCTGGGAAATGTAGAATTTGACTGATGCCTTGAAGTTCCGGATAAAATCAGAGTTCTGTTATTGAAGGATGAAGGTGGGGAAAGTGGTTATTGGGGACTACAGCTAGTTTTGCCTCTTATGAGCTGTGTGAACTTTGATTCCAAGTTACTTAATTTTTCTGAACTTTAAGGTTTAACCCACTTTGAATTTATAAAAAGGATAGAAGAAACAAAAGACATGATGACAGATCCCTGGATCTCTGTGACTCACATATGGGTCACCCAGTGGCCAGCTCTATTCTGGCCGGAGCCACTAGGCATATGGAGAAGACAGATTTGATACAGGAGGTCAAGGCAATGCATCACGGGGCACATGGGGAAACCGCTGAGGAGTTCCCTGCAATGAGTGGCCACGTTCTGGGTCCCACTTGGGTTTAAATCCAGTAGTGCATCCAGAGCTGCTCCACTCTCAGCTGTGGGCAACGACTTAAGGTGCAGGATGGTCTCATATGCTCCCGTGCAAGAGTGAGACTCTCAGAGTCCCATCCCATCAGTCAACCAGATGATTGGCAGCTGAGTGACAGCCTCAAGCAGCGCTGCCTCCTGTGTAGGTAATCTAGAAGGTACCCAGGTGACAAGGACCACCCTCAGCAAAATTCCTCCTGAGCCGTTCATCTCTGATGAATGAACTCTGATCCCTTCTATTCTGGTTCTTCTCTCCTCAGCTCCACTCTTTGAATTTCTGAGTCCTTCTGCAAGGACTGTCAGCACCCTTTTGTGAGTCCCCATCTCTAGACCTCTCTGTTGCCCCCCAATAATGTATCCTCCAAAATGCTCATCAATCAACCTGATACTCAGTTGCATATCCCTGGTATTGACTGGCCTCAGCTGTGTCCTATTACTTCCCAGCCCTGGTGACAACCCTCTTGACCATCAGTTATCTTAGAACAGAAAATCTGTCCTAAGGAACAGGAACAAATGAGGAAAGGCAATCGTGCATAGAAGCATGAGCATGGGCTCCCAGGGGCTGCTCGGGATTTCCAGCTGATGGTGAGGGATGCTGGAGAGCGTCCTACAGAGATTTGGGACCTGGACTAGTACTCCCAAGCCACAGGCAATGTCAAGAGCTGTCTTGTCTGGTGCAGAGGGACAGAGTAGAGGACTGTTACTCACGTCACTGTAGGACTGATAGGGAAGAAGACGTATAAGGATCAATAGCCACATGAAAAAATACTGTCGTTTTCATAAACTGGCAAGCACCAAATACCCAATACAAAGCCCTGGAAAACTGCACTGGAGACATCAACTTATCCCACCGGTCAGGTAACCCAACCCAGAGGTGGAAGTGGGTTTCGTACTTCCTCCCTGAATCTAAGTATTGGTATCCATGCACTCAGAAGTACCTGCAACAGATGGGTATGACTGGGCCTGCAGAATGGATGCCAGCTCCACTTCCCAGCCAGTGGTACAGACGGGGCAGAAGAGAGAGGAAGAGAAAGAGCATCTCCAAAAGCAGACTGTCTGCCTTGCTTCTCAGGGGAACACGAAACGCCAGGAGGCTGCTGAGTGTGAGGGGTCAAAGATGAGCAAAGGGGTGGGCTGTGCCTAAGCACTGACATTTACCACAATGACCCTGCTGGCAGCCGAGATGTGGGCCAGGGACCGTCAGCCCCCACCAGTCAGAGAAACACATGCTTCCCTTTAGGAGGAGCGAGCAGGGGATGAGAGAGGGCCTCAGGGATTTTGCTGGGGCTCCTTCCTCTGCAGGTCAAGGGAAGAATATGGGGAGAGGCGGGGAAATTGCCCTCTTCAATGTGATTTCCATCCTTCAATTTCTACCCAAATTTAGAGACGTTTCTAGACCTGGGGGGAAGAGGAACCACAGTCATGCATCCCTGTGTGCTCTGTGGCTAATTAAAGTCGGGTTCTCCTCATGGGCCCTGCAGCCCAAGAATAGCCTCCTCATGAGCCCTCTGTGTGTGTGCACGTGTTTGTGTTTCTTTTTCCCAGAAAACCCGCGGGAGTCATGTTTTGATCCTGGTTCCATCAAGAACGGCACGCGGGTGGGGTCCGACCTGAAGCTGGGCTCCTCTGTCACCTACTACTGCCACGCGGGCTACGAAGTTGAGGGCGCCTCGACCCTGAGCTGCATCCTGGGGCCTGATGGGAAGCCCGTGTGGAACAATCCTCGGCCAGTCTGCACAGGTGGTGGGAGCCCGGGGATGGCAGGGGTCTGAGGAACTGAGGGCATGCCAGCGGCAGAAGGCGCTGTGGGCTAGGGAAAGGAAGGGGGCATGGTCCTCAAGGCTGGCTCCTCCAAGCCTGGCACACCTGGGTTTGCTGTGGATGTGTACAGAAGTGGCTTATAATTCACTAGGTGTGCAGTTCCTGTCAAGGTGTCATCTCAGATCACATGGTGTCCCCACCACCATTCACATAGTTGCTCATGCCCTCAACAGAGGCCTCCAGACATGCCACATCAGGGGGCTCACACCAGGGAGAAGTCGTTTAAAGGTGGCCCCTGGACTAGTTCCTAGGCCTAGGGAAAATCACTGAGAGATCAGTTATATCAAAGTAAGGCTGGCGGAGTGCACTGATTCCAGGTGCGTCTGGGTGAACCATGGGGGTCCTGACAAGAGGGATAGGAATGAGTAGCAGGGCTTTAAGAGCTTGGTGACCACCCATTGAAAAGCAAAGGGTACCCCTTTGTCATGGTAAGAGAGGCAGGCTCAGACCCGCCCCTTGTGGAAATTGGGCATGGTGGAGGGGAACAGAAGGTGGCGGGTCACATGGCCTGGCTGCTCCCCATGGGGTTAGTCCAGGGAAGTTTCAGCTCCCTGCTCATGCTGACACTCACTCTCCAGGTCAGATGTCAGCCAGGGGCAGCAGATCATTTCTAGGCTCCACATGTAAGCAGAGGAGGTTCCTAATATGCTCCCTAAGGCTGTGACTTCAGGGACTAATGCCAGGGTTAATAGGTAGAGGGCAAGAACTGACACCTGCCCAAGAGAGCCCTCGGTAGCTCCAGGGCAAGTTTCAGGCCACATGCCAGGCCAGGGGTGCATGTCCTTGGGCAGGGCAGGGTCCACAGGACTTCCCTTCTCCAAGCTAGGGGCCGCACACCTCAGGGCAGCCCTACTGGGGTCAGAAGTTCAGGCTGGGGCAGAACAAAGGATGGTCACTGGTAAGAGGCCCACAAGGTCACCTGACTCTCTATTTCTTTCTCTTTCAGCCCCCTGTGGGGGACAGTATGTGGGTTCGGACGGAGTGGTCTTGTCCCCCAACTACCCCCAGAACTACACCAGTGGACAGATCTGCTTGTATTTTGTTACTGTGCCCAAGGACTATGGTATGGGTTTGGGTTGTTGTTGTTGTTCATATGTTTTCTGACTCCTCACCCTCATTCCAGAATGGACAATTCCTCAGACTCCTCCCAATTATGCAGCCCCATTGTGGGAACTGCAGAACTGTCTCCCAAAAAGGACAGCTGAGTGTTGACATTCTAAAACGGGCTGTAGAATACATTCCTGACACAGAGGGCAGAAGGGCATAAGTGAGCCCCGCCAGAACCAAGGGGACAGGGTTGGTGAGAAACTGGCCAAGACAGAGGGAAGGCAAGGTGCCTCAGGGAGCTACCCAGTATGGCCCAAGTCCTAAGGGAGGTGCCGCAGATCTAGACCTGTTAGGAACCCAGGGTGAGTGGCCAAGGAGCAGGAGGGAGGAAAGGAATGGGATGGAGCTGGACTTGAAAGTGCAGGTGAGGGAGACCAGGAACCACATCATTCTGGCGTCCCATCTGAGAACCAAAGCCTGATCCAGAAGCTATTGGTAGGACAAGCAAGAAAAAAGTGAAAAACAGGCCAGTGCCCTGGGAAGACAGAGAAACTTCCAGATTCCAAGAGATGTGGGCAGAAAAAACCAAGCTCATTACCTTGTTGGCAGTGGGGACATTCAAGAATCCCGCCAGCCCTGGAGGCATTCAGAAAGATGAAGGGCAACCAGGTGACCAGGCTGGCTTCTTTCTTCCTGGATCTCCTCTTTGTAGGAGGACTAACAACCATGTCTAAACACGATTGATGTTGGGTGTGGCAAAGGACATCAACATGTCCCAACCATCTAGGGGAGAAGCAGGAGGGAGGGAGCAGCCTGCAGAGAGCTAACTCCTTATTCCCCAAGACAGGAGGGGCAAGCACAGAGCAAGGCCTGATGCTTGAGGCATTCACCAAACATGTAGTAAGCACCCACTGGGGGCCATGCACTCTGCTGGGTCCTGGAGTTGCAGTTCTCTGTCCTCTATAAATTCCCAGTCTCATCTCTACCCATAGCTCCAGCCATCAGTACACCCACTCCTTCCCCAGAACCAGGACACTTACGTACATGTACACACACTCCCCAATATACTGAGGTGGCAGGAGCCTCAGACCTGCAGGATCACAGTTAGAAAAGTCCTGAAAGGCTGTCCAATCTGATCTGCTACCCAGAGCAGAATCCTTGATAGGTGGGCATGCAGTTTGTGCTTGAATCCCCCCCAGTGATAAGGAGCTCACAGCACTCACTACAGATCTCTGTATACAGTTTTCAACTCAATGACACTGACTAACTGGCCTTGGGACGCCTGAATGTGGAGTCCTGACATCACAAGGAGAAAGGGATGGTACCAAAAGCCCTCTGATGGCCTCCAGTAGCTGTTGCAGCTGCTATCTGGGAAAGGAACAAACTTGGTTCCGTTTCGCCTCCACCCGCCTGACCTTTGGGTGCAGCGGGTGTTGTCTTGACCCTTGTGAAGCGCAGCCCGGCCTTCCCAGCTCCCCGCCTCCCTGTGCCCTCCCTGTGCCCTCCCTGTGCCGGGTGTCTGACCACTGCCAGACTGTGCGGCTGCACTAACCAGTGCAGCAAGCCACAGCCCAGGAACCAACAACTTCCCCAGGGCTGCCTTCCTCCTGACGTGGGCCCCTAGACCCCGAGATCCCCTCTCCTGCCCCCAGCGCGCCTGCCCAGTCCCCACACCGTGTCTCCTCCACAGTGGTGTTTGGCCAGTTCGCCTTCTTTCACACGGCCCTCAACGATGTGGTGGAGGTTCACGACGGCCACAGCCAGCACTCGCGGCTCCTCAGCTCCCTCTCGGGCTCCCACACAGGTATCCGGGGCTCGGCCAGGGTGGGGACGGTTATGGGCTGGGGGCATCACGGCCGGCTAAAGGAAGGAGGCTCTAGAAGCACCCCATGGCCGCAGGTGGAACCCTAGGGCTCTGCGTGCGTGTGGTGCTCTGGTGCTGTCTACAACGCAGCGGCCAGCTCCTGAGAGCTCCAACTAGGGGGGCCTTCAGCAGCTGCCCTTACCCAGGCTGTGTCTGCAACGCCCCCTTGTGGTGTAGCCTTCTGTTGGTTCGTATTCAAATGCAACTTTTTTCTTATTATAAATGTATTGCATTTTCATCATAGAAAACTTAGTGACAAAACAAAATAATTGCATACAGAATCAAAATAAAGACTACCCCGAAAGAGCCACTGACAAGATGTAGTGGATTTACTTCTGGTCTTTGTATCTACTTCGATGTTTACATATTTTATTCAACAAACCAATATACATATTTTATTGAAATATTCACTGCGAGCTTTTCTCTGTCATTTTTTTCTTCTAGGCTAGGATTTTTAAGTGCCATATAGTAATATCTCATACAATTAGTTAAAATTTATGTAACGAATTCCGTATCATTGAACATTTAGATTGTAATGTTTTGTGCTTATGAATAGTAATGCAATGTATTGTACATACATCTTTATATACATTTCTGTCACTTTAGAATATCTAGAAGTGGAATTGTCAGTGTAAAGGATATGTGAGATCTTTAAGGCTTTTTGTGCAGATTATCAAATATCCCTCTAGAAAGATCTTGTCAGTTTGATCACCAACAATAAGAGGGCATGTTTTATTCTTACAAAACCAGGTAATTAAAAAAACAAAAGCGTCATCAGTTTGAAAAGTGAAAAATGGTATCTCATTTTCTAATTTGCCTTGTTTTATTACTAGTTAGGTTACATTTTTATGTGTTTATTGGCCTGTGCATTTTTTATTTGTGAATTTATTGTGAATTTGTGTTGATTTTTCTGTAAGCACTTATTTTCTTATTTATTGAGCAGAGCTCCATATTTTAACCTATATAAATATATACATAATATGCTATGAAAAACCCTCCTCTCCAGCTTGTCTTTTGCTATATAATTTTTGTCAGGGTGCTTTAAGGTCAGAATATGTAAATTTCTCATGCTATCAAATCTATCAATATTTTCTTTTATAGTTTTCTCCTTTGCTTTTATGCTGGTCAAATAAATATTCCTCTGTGTTTTCTTTCACTTCTTAGTTTCATCACACTGCTTTAATACCTTTGGAATTTATTTTGATTTATTATTTGATATAGGGAATCTAACCATATTCTTTCAAATATAGTTAATCAGTTGTCCTAGCAGAATTTTCAAAATGCCAAATTTACATATACTAAATATTTATGAAGTGTCTGTTCCTAGACTTTTTATCCATTTCTTCTAAATGTCTATTTATTCCTTTTTCAGTTTTAATTATTGTAACACTATAATAGTGTTTACTATATAATAATTTTAAACACATGGTATTATAAGTCCCCAGAGTCATCCTTTTTTTGAATTTTTATTGGCTGTTGTTGCTTACTTTTGCCTCCAAATTAAATTTAGAAATATTTTGTCAAGTTTAAAACATTGCATCAAAATCTTGACTGAGATTTAATAAAACTTACACGTTAAATTAGGGTGAACTCACATGTTTATAATATTAACTCTTCTTCCCATCCAGGAATACAACATGTCTCTGCATTTGTTTATCTTCTGTAGCCCTTGAAACGATGCTATAATTTTTATTTAGGCAGTATTCATTTTTTGTTAACTTTATTCCTAGACATTTCATGGAGATTTTTGTTGCTGTTGTAAATGGGTCTTTTTTCCCCCATTATGTTTTCTAGCTGGTCTTTGCTAGTATATTCAAAGACTGGCGTTTTTGGCATATTTGCTTCGTAAAGTCATTGGACTCTTCATAATACTGCTTTCACTGCCAACTACTTCTCCTGGCTCCTCTAGGCAAGAAGTAATATCATCTGCAAATAAATTTGTCTCATTATTTTATCTCCTCCTTTTCAGTGGCTTTTCTTTTATTTTTTTCCACAGTTATTGGTCTATTCAGGTATATTACTCTAATATCAATGTTGATATTTTAGCTTTTAGTAAAAAAATCCATTTCATAATTTCCTTTACATTTAGTACCACAATTTATATAATGTACTACGGTGAGGTTTACCCTGCTTTGTATTAGCGGTGATATTCCTGCCTTTGTTATGCTGCATCGTGCATTCATCATCCCCTTTTTCTTTGGCTGTACCAGGTGTTTTGTGTTTTTTTGTTTGTTTTTTTTAATTTTTATTGCTGCAATTTATCAATTATTCTGCAGAGTTTGTTGTTATTTTTTGATTAATCTCTGCCTTTATTTCATCATGTCCTTCCTCATATTTTTCTTCTGATTATTTTGTTCATGTTCTAACTGCTTGAATTGAGAGCTCTGTTCATTATCTTCTCTGCATAATAAGGAACATGTTTACAGCGATGTATTCACCTCCAAGCATAGTTTTGGCTTCATGCTGTAAATTTGGTTATGTACTATGTTCATCATAATTACTTTTTAAATAGCTCGTCGTGGTGTTGTTTACTCTTTTTGCCCAAGAGTTGGCTAAGAATGTCTTTCCTTTTCCCCTAAGAATGTGGATTTTGTTCTTGACGCATTAAACTTTTGTGTTAATTTATATTTTTATTTCCATGTAGTGAGAGAATGTGGCCTGTACCATTTCTTCTTTGAGGATTAATTGAGGTCCTCTCAGTAGCGAAGGACCTTTTTTTTTTTTTTTTTTTTTTTTAGTTTTCTAAATATCTAAGAAGGATGTGTATTCTCTGTAAGGTAGAGAAGCAGGACGAAAGCTCAGGCTGTACAATCACACTCTTTTCTTAGCTCTCCTGTTTGCTTTCTAGATGACTTAGGGCACAGTACTTGACCTCTCTGAGCTTCAGTTTCCTCCCCTGTAAAATGCAAAGAGAAAGAATCCTACTTCCTATAGTGTTAGGAGTAAATGAGATTTGTAATTGCCATTAAATCAGTCTTACTCAATTTTGTTATTCAAATCTATTGTATCAGTGATTCTCAACCAAATGATTTTTTTGTAACCACCACCTCACACATACACACCCAACCAAGAGTGTAAATCAGGAACTCCTGGAGTAGGATGCCTTTTCAAAACAGATAGATAGATAGATAGATGTATAGCTATAGATTTAGAGGTATAGTAAGGATCAAGTAAAGAGAGATAGAGGGTCTACATTTAAGACCTATAGATATAAATATGGATATAGATATAAGTGTATAGGACCAATAGAAACAGGAAGGGAAGGGAAGGGAAAGAAGGAAGGAGAAGGTGGGGGAGAATCCCAGCACTTTGGGAGGCCAAGACGGGCGGATCACGAGGTCAGGAGATCGAGACCATCCTGGCTAACACGGTGAAACCCCGTCTCTACTAAAAAAATACAAAAAAGTAGCCAGGAGAGGTGGCGGGCGCCTGTAGTCCCAGCTACTCGGGAAGCTGAGGCAGGAGAATGGCATAAACCCAGGAAGTGGAGTTTGCAGTGGGCTGAGATCCAGCCACTGCACTCCAGCCTGGGTGACAGAGCAAGACTCCGTATCAAAAAAAAAAAAAAAAAAAAAAAAAAAAAAGTTGGGGGAGGAAGAAGAGAGAGTGAGAGAAAGAGAGAGAGAGAGAGATGTATAAGACCTGTAGATATCAAACTCCTGACTTCAAGTGATCCACCTGCCTCAGCCTCCCAAAGTGCTGGGATACCAGTGAAACCCCATCTCTACTAAAACTACAAAAATTCACTGGGCATGGTGGTGGGTGCCTGTAATCCCAGCCACTGGGGAGGCTGAGGCAGGAAAATCACTTGAACCCAGGAGGCAGAGGTAGCAGTGAGCCAAGACTGCGCCATTGCACTCCAGCCTGGGCGACAGAGCGAGACTCCATCTCAAACGAAAAAGAAAAAAAAAAAAAAAAACCTGTAGGTGTCAATTTCAGTGTATTCAGAGAGTCCCTTATTCCTCATTCGGAGAAACACTATAACGAGCCATTGGTACTGATGGAAGTGCACTATGTCCCTGTCCCTGAGTTGTGTTGGGGGAGAAAAAGCTAAAGGACTGCTACTCAACAGTCTTCATTTTGTTTTTCTATTTGATGTATCAATGATTGTGAATGTTGCATGAAAGTATTTCCCATTACAATTATGATATTTTGTTGTCTTCTTGTATTTCTAGCAATTTTTGCATCTGTTTTCCTGACATATCTTCTCTCATTTTCTCCAACTCTTTTTCTTTTAAGAGGAAGTTGACTCATTTATTTTACAAGTGAATTACTTGGTCTGATATCTGTCATCTTGTATTGTTCTTTCTGTGCTTTTGTTTGTGTTGTTTTGATTTTGCTTCCTCGCTTTTCCATACATACCTGACCCAACTCTAAATTTTCAAGTTCTTCTTGATATATTTGGACTTTTATATTAATGTTATAGTGGTTATTTTTTAAATTGTGGACTTCTTCCCCAAGAGCAAATTTTTGCATTTGCATTTTGTTTTGTTAGCTCATTTTGTTTTGTTAGCTCATTATATTTTTCTGGTTGTGTTTATCCCTGCTGGTTCCTTAATTCCCTACTTTAGTTTTGGATTTGTTTTTTCGTTTTTTTGTTTTTTTGTTTTTCAGTAGGGCTTATAACTGCAGTACTTTCTGTCACCATGCATATATGAGAATGCTTTCCTTTTGACATAAGATATAAATAACAACTTGATTGCAAATCAAATTATGGGTCAAACTTTATCTTTCAAAACTGCAGTAATTATTCCACCATTTATTGTTACAGACAAATTGGAGTCCAGCGTGATTCTTTGTCCTTGTACATAACCTGTGCTTTTCTGTCTATATGATTTTCTTTTTTGTTGTTAATGAAAAAGCCCACTAGGATGTGTTGTGGTGGAAGTCTCTTCTCACTAATTCTATCTTGCACTTGGCAAATACTTCAGTCTGAACCTCACAACTTAGGAAAAGTGTCTTCTTTCTTAAACGATTTTTCTGTGTGCGGGGCAGACAGAGTCTCACTCTGTCGCCCAGGCTGGAGTGCAGTGGTGCGATCTCAGCTCACTGTAACCTCTGCCTCCCAGGCTCAAGTGATTCTCCTGCCTCAGCCCTCCAAGTAGCTGAGACTCCAGTTGTGCTACACCACACCCGGCTAATTTTCATATGTTTAATAGAGATGGATTTTCACCACGTGGGTCAGGCTGGTCACAAACTCCTGACCTCAGGTGATCCGCCCATCTCGGCCTCCCAAAGTGTTGGGATTACAGATGTGAGCTACTGCACCCTGCCTTAAGTGATTTTTTTTCTCCTTCAATTTCTCTGTCTTCTCTTTCTGGAATTCCTGATATATGCATATGGATTTTTTTTTCATCTTTCATGTCACTTGTCATTTCTCTTGTTATTTTAATCTCTTTATACTTTTTCTGTGGATTCTGAGAGAATTTCCAAAATTTCATCTCCACTTCACTGTTCAGTTTCTGTGGAATCCAGCTGCTTGCACTAGCATTTCTCATCTCTATTGATCTCAGATCCTTCATCCTCTGACTTCACAGATGCAATGCTAGATTTAATCTCATGACAACCATGACTGAACGTCTGCTGAGAGTTTTGCCTGTTCTTTACTGTGGTTCAAATAAAGTATTTGCTTTGACCTCTCCGAGTGATCTCCTTCCTCAAAACTTTAACATTTTTTCTTATGTCCAGTGATTTTACTATTTGCTCTCTCTCAAAGATGGAGGCCCATGTGCCTTCAGGGCTGAAGTTGACATGGGTTCTGTGAGAGCTCACTAGGGTCCTTATCCACATCTGTCAGGCCAAATAGAAAAGCTGAGTTTCACTCTGCTCACATCCATCTGGAGGAGGAGTTGGAGATGGCAGTGATAACAAAGGGAAGCTTTGTCTTCATGAGTTTCTTTCTGCTTTGGCAGCTACATGTTAGCTGGGGCAATAACTGTTAGCTGGGGCAATAACTGTTAGCTGGGGCAATGACTGTTAGCTGGGGCAATGACTGTTAGCTGGGGCAATGACTCCTAGCCAGGCTCAGTCCTCTGGGTCACATGTACATCTAAGCCTGTTTTGCAAAAGGCTCTCTGCTCCCGTGTTGGTGGCATCACTTCAGCTTCCTGGAAGTACAGGTGGACCTCCCAGTAGCTCCCTTGTGGGTCCTAACTCTAGCCCTCACTGTAGTGGACATATAGCCTGGTTCTCTATAATCACTGTTTCCCTCCTGAGAATGGGGTCTGGGGTCAGCAGCCCTTCCCAGGGGTCCCTAAGTCTGCAGGGGGCCAGCAGGCAGAGTGGCCATGCTGCTGCCTCCACCCATGTTCTCCCTGGGCTTCCCCAGGATGGCGACTACACTAATTGGCTACAGGTCTCGTTGGTGCTGTCTCTCCCCTGGCCTATCTGTACCACACCAAGCAGAAGATGCACCTTTGTCTTCTGCTACAAAGGCTGTCAGCCTACCCTGGTTTCCTGTGGCCATGCAGCTTCCCCCCAGTTTGTGTGTTATTGGCCGGCAATAGTATATCCTGGTTTGCCTGGGACAGTCCCACCGTAACTATTGATAGCGCTTTCTTTGACTCTTAGAAGTTTTCTAGTATGAGCAATAAATTACACCATCGCTCTGGTTATCGACAGGGTGGTGGGAGAGTGTCTGGGAAAGACCAGTTGCTCCCAGATGATCACATCATCCTCCTTCCCAGAAGCCAATGCTATTTTTTAAAATGCAGATTGATGTCAGTTTTCCAAGTAAACCACCAGTCAGTCGGCTTAGTAACAGCCGCTCTCTCCATCCCTGTTGCTCCACACATCCTTAGCAGCCTTCTGCTTTCCGGCACGGGTCATTTAATCTTTCTGGGCCTCTCTTTCTTTTCTTCCTTCCTTCCTTCCTTCCTTCCTTCCTTCCTTCCTTCCTTCCTTCCTTCCTTCCTTCCTTTCTTTCTTTCCTTCCTTTCTTTCTTTCCTTTCTTTCTTTCTTTTCTTTCCTTCCTTTCTTTCTTTCTTTCTTTCTTTCTTTCTTTCTTTCTTTCCTTCTTTCCTTCTTTCTTTCTTTCATGAGGGTACTCAACTCTGGCATGCCAACCTCACCATGACCACAGGTCAAGTTAAGACTGTGGATGAAAAGCTTTCTAGAAACTTTAAATTGTAAAGCGCAGTAAAAAATGTAAGATTTCATTTCAGGAAGGCCTGGAATGTGGAAGGAATTGCTGCATGGGGTACTGGAAGGAATTGCTAGGAATTGCTGCATAAAATCCTTCCTGGCCTGGATTTTATCTTCTGGACCCACCTGCTGGACTCACTGTTCTCTCCTCCTTGCCCCTTATCTCGGCAGGAGAATCATTGCCCTTGGCCACCTCCAATCAAGTTCTCATTAAGTTCAGTGCCAAAGGCCTCGCACCAGCCAGAGGCTTCCACTTTGTCTACCAAGGTATGGAGGACATGGACGCCGGAGGTAGGAAGGTGATCTCGGTTCTTAAGGGACTCGTGATCGAAGGAACAGGGATCTTTGACCTCTAGTCTCAGGGTGTTTGGGGGCAGTTACTAGTTTGTAGGGCAATTCCCTGAAACTCAGTTGAATTTTATACATTCACTTACTCAGCAGACATTTCTTAGACAAGTTGTGTGTTAAATGAGGAAAGAAATCAGACAAGGGAAGTCAATTTTTTCCCCTTCCCCACCCCACCCATTGTCTGGCATGGTCCAGATGGCACTGAAGAGACCAGCCCAGGCATCTTACCTAGACTCCCCTGGAGCTTGGTGTTGTCTGCCAAGCACAGTAAAGGTGCGGGGAAAACACAGGCTTTGAAGTGCCGTGGACGTGGATTTGAATCCCACCTCCCCACTTTGGAGCTGGGCTCCAGCTACGCCAGGCCTCAGAGCCTGTTTGCTCACCTGTAAGAAGAGGGCAATCGCAATGCCTCACTGATAGGATGCAAAGAGGCTTCGGGAAGCAGCTGGTACCAACCAGCCAGTCGGTGTTAGTCCCCTTCCTTACCGGCCCAGAAAGGCAGTTTGGAGCACCCTGGCTTTCACCCCCAGGCCCCAACCTCCACTTGCCCAGGAGAACATCCACTTCTGTAGGGCCCAGGTTCTAAGCATGGTCCTGTTCATTCGATTCTGCCCAGGATGAGCTGTGTTTCTCTGCAGGGGTGATCCTGCCACAGGGGAGGCCATCCCGGGCCCATCACCATTGTGGGCGGCAGGAGGGAGAGAAGACCGGGGTCATGGAGGGCAGGGCGCCAGGCAGGATCTTAAGGCACATGGGGAAAACAGGACAGAGGCAGGGTGAAGGCCCTGAGAAGGTGGAGGAGGAAGGCCCATTCTCCTTGCTAGGGAAAGTGGGACCCTGTTGGGTGAGGGGCGTCATTGGGAAGGCAAAGAACAAAACGGGGCCTAAGGTCCGTGGGAGGTCCACGGCTCTACCTCCCATGCTTTCCAACAGCTGTGCTGTAGCACTGTGTGTCCAACCATGCTTCAGTGTAACAGGCATCTTCCTAGTTAGCCCTCGAGCCCTTCCCTACGGGAGAGCTTCCAGAGCCTCTCAGGGTTTCATCCAGACGGTCTTTGTTCCAGACCCATTGCATGTCTGTCCCTGGGCCAGTTTCTGGGGGGTGAGTCCTCCCCTCAGTGCCCTTGTCCCCCACAGCGGTTCCCCGAACCAGCGCCACGCAGTGCAGCTCTGTGCCGGAACCCCGGTATGGCAAGAGGCTGGGCAGTGACTTCTCGGTGGGGGCCATCGTCCGCTTCGAATGCAACTCCGGCTATGCCCTGCAGGGGTCGCCAGAGATCGAGTGCCTCCCTGTGCCTGGGGCCTTGGCCCAGTGGAATGTCTCAGCGCCCACGTGTGTGGGTGAGTAACCAGGACCCGGGCGTTGGGGGTGCGGGGGGCGGCACGTAGTCCTTTCCCTCTAGGGCGGCACATAGTCCTTTCCCCACGGCACACAGCGGCCGCCGTCCACCGCATGGCTGAGGTGGGGTGTTCCAGTCAGCTCCTGTCCCCGGCGCTGTGGGCTGTGTGGAAGACAGCAGGGGTACTGGGGACGGGGCACACGTGGAGAGAGGAGCGGAGCCCAGGGCCCCGAAGAGAGTTGCATGGGGAGAGGCCATGGAGAAGGCAGGACTGGGGACATTAGGGAGACGCTCCCATGGGGAGGAGGACAAACAGAGGCTGGGGGCCCTGAGGGAGGAGTCTGCTTGGGGAGGCTCCCACGGGAGGCCACAAAGCCTCTGACCCGACGGCCTCTCCTCCCAGTGCCGTGTGGAGGCAACCTCACGGAGCGCAGGGGCACCATCCTGTCCCCCGGCTTCCCAGAGCCATACCTCAACAGCCTCAACTGTGTGTGGAAGATCGTGGTCCCTGAAGGCGCTGGCATCCAGGTAGGGGCAAGGAGGCGCCTCGGTCGGGCAGGTGGCCGTCTGCTCACAGGTAACTGCTCACAGGTGGCTGACCACAGATGCTGGCTGGTGCCAAGGCCTGAGTCAGGGTAAGCCAGTAAGAGACATATCAGCCCTGTACCTGGCCCTATGGCTAAGGAGACTCAGTCCAGATGTGGAGATGTGGCCCCCAAGCAGAAAACACAGTAGGTTCCAGACCCCAAGAGCTTCAGGGGCATGCGGTGGGAGTTGGGTAATCCAGGAAGGAGGAGAGGTGGACATCGCTTGGCCCTGGTCAGGAGGGGAGGCTAAAAGAAGGAATGGGCCTGGAGCTGGAATCTGAAGTGTGGGAAGGATTCATAGAAGTTGTTTCTCAAATGGCTAAAGATTTTCTTAAGATTTTGAGGGTTAGAAGGGGAGGCAGTGCTGATGAGAAGAAAGAGCAAAGCACCCAGCACAACTGAAGCACAGAGAACCCCCAGGCACACACCTAGGGAACCTCACACAGCCTGAGCTGTAGAAGCTGAACTGGGGGCATAACTGGTACCCAGGGGTAAGAGCCAGGCAGAGGGAGTCCCCATCGTTGGTGCCAAGGCATGGAAGAGGGTCAGGAGCCTGCAAGGCCAACGGAGAGGCAGCAAACTGGGACTCCGGCAGACAGATCCGGGCAGGAGTGGGTTACGGGCTCATTGCTGCAGGACATCTGATGTAATCAAGGCAGGAAAGTGGGGAAACCCAAGGGACGTTCCAGAGATGAGGAGACAGTCAGTGAGACTGTCTTCCCACTTCCTGGAATTTCTTTTCCCCATTCTCTACTTTGCAAAATATCCCACTGTCTTCTAATCATTTTTTTCCACATCTGTCTTCCCTACTGGACAACGCGCTCCTTGGAGTTGGGGCTGCATCTTACTTTTATTGGAAGGGACTAGCATAGTGTTAGGCCCAGAGTAGATTCTCAACAAATTTGAATTAACTATGGGAAGGGCAGAAAGGGAAAGCAGAGAAGGAGGGAGGGACGCAGGCTGCCTAACCAACAATTCAATCCTCTGCCTTCCCAGATCCAAGTCATCAGTTTTGTCACAGAGCAGAACTGGGACTCCCTGGAAGTATTTGATGGTGCAGATAACACTGTAACCATGCTGGGGAGTTTCTCAGGTAAGCTGGTTTCCAGGGACTTCAGTTTGGAGGGTGGTGCTAGAACTCCTCATCATGAACATTGCTATTAATATTATTATTATTGAGATATAATTTATATTCCATGAAATTCACCATTTTCAAGTGGACACAGCAGTGGTTTTCAGTAGATTCAAAAGGTCCTACAACCATCACTACTAGCTAGTCCCAGAGCATTTTGACCACCACCAAAAAAAACCAGGTACCCATTTGCACTCCCCTCCCCAGCCCACACCTAACCTCTAGTTACCAGCAATCTACTTTCTATCTCTATGCATTTGCCTATTCTGGGCATTTCATATAAATGGAAGCCTTCTGTGTTTGGCTTCTTTCACTTAACATGATGTTTCCAAAGTTCACCAAGTCACAGTATAGTTCAGCACATCATTGTAAGGACAGAGCATATTTTGTGTGTCCGTTCATCAGTCAATGGCTTGTTTCCACTTGTGTGCTGTTATGAATAATGCTCATGCACAAGTCTTGGTGTGAACACACGTTGTCACTTCTCTTGAGTATACACCTAGAAGTGGAATTGCCGGGTCATGGGGGAACTCTATATTTAACTTTTGGAGGAACTTCCTAACTGTTTTCCAAAGTGGCAGCACCATTTTGCCATTCTAGTGATGGAATTCTGACTGAGTGTGGTGTATAGCTGTGCCCAGTGGCCAGGGCAATTATCTGAATCTTTTAGGTCCACAACTCTAGATGGCCAGGAGATAAAGAGGAGCCACATGCTCCAGATAAACTGTCCACACTGCAGGACTGCCCAGAGAATAATACAGGTCAGAGCTATCCTGAAGATGGCTAAGAGGAGACCCAACTGGTACCTCAGCCTCCTGTGGGCACATGGCTCTGCCACTGCTCATTTTACAGGAAGCAGATTAGTTTCCCCTCCCTCAGCCATTGGACACTTAGCCCTCTGAGGAGTGCTAATTTGTCATTTAGTGAGTTTCATAACTGGGGACATCTGGGGGCCTTGGGAGCAGAATGTCAGCAGGTAGCAAAATCCAGAAGAATGGGGAGGAATGCAAGGGCCTGGAGAAGCCAAACTTAAATGACCCCTGGTGTCCTTGCCCTAGGAACAACTGTGCCTGCCCTTCTGAACAGCACCTCCAACCAGCTCTACCTTCATTTCTACTCAGATATCAGCGTATCTGCAGCTGGCTTCCACTTGGAATACAAAAGTAAGAATCCAGGGTCTTGGCTTGTACAGAGTTCAGGGTGGGACCTAGTAGTTACTGAGCCCCTTCTGAGCAAGGGTTATATTGGAGCTGCATGTTGTCCATCCCACGTAAGCCTTCCCACAAGCCTAGGTGAGGATGCTAAAGCCTGGAGAAGGTCTGAAACCTCCTCAAGGCTGAGTTCTCCTCCAAGTGTCTGTTACTCAAAAACCTGTATGCCTGCTCAGTATCCACGCCAGGTATGGAAAGGGGACTTGCATTGGCCAAGGTCCCAGTACATAATTGGGATGTAAGAATATTGTGCCTTCCTCCCCCAGTTCTAAAACCTGGCCTCTCTAACCCCTAGTTCTGTGATGCGATTATTTTTGAATTTCCTCCTATCATTGGATACCTCACTCATCTTCTACCAGATTTCTCACTGCAGGCTCAAACCCTTATATCCTGGCTTCTGGCATCCCTCAGTGGTCACTACTAAATACTCTTCACAGAAAAAGATTTGTGGATGTGCCTTCTGGGGATCAAAGAAAGAGGTTTCTAGGGAAACTGTTTGCATACTGGGACTGCCTGCCCCACCCCCTTTCTCCACTGGGTACAGGGAAGAATAGGTAGGCAGCAGCATTTGTTACACTTTTTATTCAGCATATACTTATTGAGCATTTACAACATGCCAGGCACTGTGCTGGGATTGGGAACAATTAAGATGGGTCAGTCAAAGTGCACTAGAGAGAGGTAGATACGGAGAGGTGCATGACAGCATTACAGGTGCTCTCATGGATGACTCTAGATGGTAGAGAAGTGGTTCAAGGGAGAGAATGGTTGTGGGCAGGTGAAGAAGCAAATGTCGTGAAGAAACATTGAGCACCTGCAATGTGCCACGCCCTGTGTTAGGTCTCCACAGAACAAAGGTGAATAAGACAAGGCCCCTGCCTTCAAAAGCACAAAATCTAGAGGGAGAGATGGACATGGACACAGTCATTTTAGTGAAACCTGAGGTGCTAAGAAAGTACAAAGGAAAGGAGCTAAAGCTAGGCCTTGCAGAAGCGGATGCCTGAGTTGTTAGGTTTGCAACGGGAAGAGAAAAATGTAGGAAGGCATGGTTGGCTTGACCATCTGTGACAGCATGGGCCTGAGCAGAAAGAAGGCCCACTTGGTGCTAGATGCCTGATTGGGTCAGAACTATATATTACACACATGCCCACCTGGGTCTGTGAAACAAATGACCTTCATCCACCTGCTTCGGAAAGAATTACATAGATCCCAGGATGCTCGTCACCTGAAAGAACTGAAGCATGCACCTGGAAAAAATAAAAAAGACCCAGCTCAGGACAGCTAGAAGCAGACCCTGCAGGGTAGAGGGTAGGACAGGGACCTCTGAGACTCCTCCCAGCAGATGTGTAAGGCTTCACTCCCCTGGTGCAGTGAAATATCCTGGGTTTCTTGACTAAATCACATTTTTTCCTTTTACCCGTTCTTCTCTGTTCTCTCCAGTTTTGTTTCTCTATCCAATATTTTGAGTTCTTAAATGTTCCCTAGAATCCTCTCTGTTCTTTCTTCTTCCAAAGACACATTTTCTTCCTAAATCACTTTACCATTCTACTGCTTCATTCCCAGGAAAAAATCTACCTCTTCTCAATTTTATTTGTCCAAGGGGAGTGGCAGTTTTCTCAGTAGCTGACATTTCATATGTTGTCCCCTCATGATGGGAAGAGCTAGGAGGGAGAAACAGAGCTTCCCACTGTATTTGGAGACTGGAATTCCTAGGAACCAGGGCCCTATAGTTATACTTTATTTTGTAGGATAATCTACAACGAGCTCACAGACGATAGAGAATTAACTGCTATTGTAGAGGCAAATGGTTTCGAAGGGTACTGAAAAGTCACATCCACTGCTATGATTCATAATTAATGTTTATTTAATTTAAATGGAAATGGAGCAATATGCTTTCAAAAGTAATACATTACATATGATAAAAAAATTTTCCTTTGCTGTAAGCATGGCTTAAATAAAATCAATCTGTGCAGCATAAGATAAGTTAGAATGGACTTTTCTCTATCTCCTTCCATTTTTCTCTTCAGCCTCACCTTTCTCCCATTCCATTTTTCTTCCTACCATGCTTTTTTGTTCTCATTCAGCTTTTCTGTCCATCACTGGACAGTAAGTAGGTCTTTCCAATAAGTCAGTCTACTTAGTTGCTACCACTGCACTAAATAGTGAGTTTTGTTCTACTTGGAGTATGGAGAGGAAGGGGGAGAAATAGACAAGATGACAAATGAATCACTTGAAACTCAGTTTGATGATTTTTTAATGCTTGTCCTTGGGGTCTTTTGTCTCAGCTGCTGAGAGTTTTGGACAAGGCTCAGAGAGTTTTCATTTCCAAATATCACACTCACGTGTTAAAAGCACATGTGGGACAGGAATTGCCTGCGAAGAGTGTGAAGGAATTTCCAGAGTGATAGCAACGTTCTGTGGTTTTGACAGGTGTTTGGGTTACACAGGTACAGGCATTTGTCAAAACTCAGCACAGGCACACTCAAGATTAGGATGTTTACTTGATTATTACCATGTTCATGCACAATCTGTGCATTTTGTTATATGTGAGTTTCCCTCAGAAGGAAAAAAAGCACATGTAGTTATCAGAGTCTCATCTCTGAATGTGGCATGAGGACTCATCTGCTGCTGTCTGGGAAGATGGGTTGGTGGCTGGTGGTCTAGGCTGATTGATCCTTCCCTGTTGCTTTTCCATGAGCCCCTAGCTGCCTGTGGGCACTGGATACAGGTGGACTCCTCAGGGAGCCTGTGTCCCCCAAGGGAGCCTCCAGAAGGGCCAAGGCTGCCATCTCCCACACTCTCTGGGCCATGCCACCCAGGTACACAGTTTGCCATCCACCCCTTTCTGCCGCCTTGATGAAGAAGACCACTTTAGAGTTTACAGCTACCTCTCCGCCTCCTCATGAGTCTTCTGGCCCTTGCCCCTGGAGAAGTGCCCTCCAAGTCCAGTCCAGCAAGGCACAGAAACTTTTTAGCGCATCTGAAGTGCCTGCACCTGTACAGGGACTCCTGCAAAGCACAGAAGAGGCAGGAAGCCCCCTGTCTGGAAATGCTACACTCCCATTTGCTGTGTGAAAGGCAGCCAGGGAGGGATTCAAAGCAGGATGAGGACCATTTTAGGAGGGGAGGCAGGGAGAGCAGGGGACAGGGTCAGACATGGGCTCATGTGGCCTCAGGTCTTGGCCTCCACTTGGCAGACCTGGGGTCAGACTGGGTTTGGTCTGACTCTAACTGAGCCCCTGAGCATCGCTGATATGTCCCTCCCTGCTCTCCTTCCTTCTTGACTTTCTCTCTCTCTCTCTCTCCTTCCCTCCCTCCCTCTCTCCCTCCCTCCCTCCCTCTCTCTCTCTCTCTCTCTCTTTCTCTCTCTCTCTCTTAGTCCACAGGATCTGTCTTCTTAGGATAAGGAAGACAGAGGGGAGTTAAGAGTAGGAAGCAGGAGGGATGTGGGAGGAGAGCATGCAGAGAAGTCTCCCTAGCTAAGCCCCCTCTCTAAGAGCTCAGTGGGTGGACAGGACAGCCAGCATCCCCTGGGATCACACCCACCTTCCCCAAGGAGCTTTGGTCTGTTGAGCCTCCATGCCATGTAAATATTCTGTTTTTCTCTGTGTGCTGCAAGGTGAAGAGAGTTGGGAAGAACTAGCCTACAAGATGAGAGAAAGCACAAATTAGAGGCACCCCTTCTCCCTGCCGCCAGCATCACCCCAGCCTACCACCGTGCTGACCTGCTGGGCTAGTCCATTCTCCTTTCCTTCTGTCTCTGTCTTGTCTAGCGGTGGGCCTGAGCAGTTGTCCGGAACCTGCTGTGCCCAGTAATGGGGTGAAGACTGGCGAGCGCTACTTGGTGAATGATGTAGTGTCTTTCCAGTGTGAGCCGGGATATGCCCTCCAGGTACCTCCCCTGACACCCTAGAGCAGGAAACAGGTGTCCCCTGAGATGTGGTTGGCCAGCCTTGTACCAGCAGAGCTACAATTACCAAAGAACAGGGAGCAGCCCCCAGGTCCCCTGGGTACCATTATCCTCTCCTGGAGCTGTTCATGCGAAAGATAAACTCTGCTGACTAACAATTTGGCACAAGCCAACCTCCAATGTGTTCCTGCAAAGTTGGGTTTCATTCGGCTTTAGGGAAATTTAATTTCCCTTTGAAGGCCATCAGGGAATTTAGTAATTAAAGGAATCTCACAAGGAAACCTCTAATAATGAGAATTCTTTAGTAATGGTTGTTAATAATTGTCCTTCCCCAAATTCTCTCTCCCTCTGCCTTACTCCCATCCCACAGTGGATCTGTGTGTCTTTGTGTATCTTGTTCCCTAACATGAGGCCCCTGAACCAGACCCCTGTACAGCCCCTGGTTGTACACACAATTGTGCCCACGGGGACAGCTAGCCCATCCCTGTTCCTGATTCCTCCAGGGCCACGCCCACATCTCCTGCATGCCCGGAACCGTGCGGCGATGGAACTACCCTCCTCCACTCTGTATTGGTAAGAGAGCCCAGACTTTACAATTCATTCCAACCTATTTTCTCTCAGGGATCTTAGCTCAGTAGTGTATCATTGAGTTCAAGTTCAAATCAGAAGAAAGTCTGATATTCTGGATTTGTTCCAAGTCAGTCGTTTTAAACTGATGTTTTTATAATATCTAACTCCCGTTTAACACAGTCATGACTTTTGGAATCCTCTGCCCCACCAAATGAAAAGTTACAGGAGGTCTGCCCATTTGAAAACATGATGATGACCATTCTGGCTCCAGTTAATCAGTCAGATCCCAGATGAAATTTCTAGGCACTTTGGGCTTCCCCCATAACTTCTTGTGGGACAGACAGACAAATCTAATAAAGAAATGCTGAGGGTGGCCGGGCGCAGTGACTCATGCCTGTAATCCCAGCACTTTGGGAGGCCGAGTCGGATGGATCACTTGAGATCAGGGGTTCGAGACCAGCCTGGCCAACATGGTGAAACCCCATCTCTACTAAAAATACAAAAATTAGGCAGATGTGGTAGCACACACTTGCAATCTTAGCTACTCAGGGGACTGAGGCAGGAGAATCACTTGAACCCGGGAGATGGAGCTTGCAGTGAGCCAAGATTGTACCACTGTACTCCAGCCTGGGTGACAAAGCAAAACTCCATCTCAAAAAAAAGCATAAGAAAAGAAAAAAGAAAAAGAAATGCTGAGGGTTACGTGTGAAACAAGGACTTGGCTTCGTCCCTTACCCTGTGCTACAGCAGTAATGAGCAGATCAGTAGACACAAGAAAAGACAGCATCTCCCCTTCAGAAGCTTCTGGTCTAGCTAGGCAAGGAAGAAAGGCACATTTATTTAATATCTATTATATGCTAGGCATGGAGCTTCATATTTCCTTATATCAGCTCTTCAGGGAAGGTACCATTACCCTCAATTTGCAAACAAGAAATCTCAGTTTTTTAGGATTAAAAAGGAAGTGGCAGAGTCAGGAACTGAAGCCTAAGGTTCTCTGGTGCCCAGTCGACTGTGAGGTGCCCTTCAAGGCTGACCTTGGGGTAGGAAGTGCAGGGAGGTAAGGGAGTGACACTCAAGCACGACAGCATTTCTCTTCTGTGGTTTCACCACGGCGTAGGGCATGGGCATCTGTGGAGCAGGCCAGAAATGTGAATGGTCAGCCCAAGGCACTTTCCCCCATTAGAGACTACAAAGACCTTACATGGAAACCATCCATTTAACAGCAGCTGCTGTTCTTTGGGGGTTTACAACATATGCCAGCCTTGTCCCAAGTAAAAGGCAGTCCTTTCTGATGTGGCCTCATAACAACCCTGTTAAATAGGTGCTGTCACTAGTTCCATTTTACAGTTGTGGGAAACCAAGTTCTGGAGGGTTTTGAACTTGCCCATGATCCCATCGGAAGTGAAGGTGGGATGGTGACCCAGGCAGTCGAGGCTGGAGCCTACTCTGCACTGTTTTCGGGTCTGTTTGCCAAGCTGCCCTCTCCCCAGAAAACACTTGCCTGGACCTGCCAATCCCTGTTCTACGATCCTTTCCCTGGGTCTCTAAGACTGGCTAGCCCCTTTCTGTTCACGCAACCTTTTCCTAATAAGATGCAAAAGAAAAGAACTGATGTCAACTAACCAGACTGCAGGAGCACCCCAGCCCTGCATCCTCAGATGACTCTGAACTCACCTTGATTGGCTATCAGATATCCCTAAGCCCTTGGGTCGCTCAGACAGCCTGATTGGCTCCTGTGAAACGCTGATCACAGTCACTTTTCTGAGGATGGGATCGTGGTGAGCCTCCCCTGCCGGCCACCCTGCCCCCTGAAATACATATTTGAGAAGAGCCTGGCATGGTGCTGGGCACAGAGTGGGGACTGGGCCTTCTTTCATCCTTTTTCTGCAGTCTTGGAAGAGTGGATTGGGCAGTGAGGAGAGGGAGATTTGGGGGATAGGGTAAGAAATGATCAGACTTCTTTTGGCACAGAACTTCCTCACTTTTCCTGCACATCCTCACCAGGGAACTGACCTGTGAAGGGCATGTTCAAGGTCAAGGGTCCATAACTTGGGCTTGTGGACTTTTAGGCTGTCCCAGAATGCACTTCCCTTCCTGAATGTACATACTGAATGTTGCCCATGGGCATAGTCTTTTAAGAAGATTCCTTTGGATTCTCAAGGGGCTTTATGACTCATGAAAGCTTAAAAACTGCTGCTTGAAGGGAGCTTCCAAACATTGGCAGGGCCATGTACACCCCTTGATGTTGTCCTGACCCTCTGTCTCATCTCATTGTCACAGCACAGTGTGGGGGAACAGTGGAGGAGATGGAGGGGGTGATCCTGAGCCCCGGCTTCCCAGGCAACTACCCCAGTAACATGGACTGCTCCTGGAAAATAGCACTGCCCGTGGGCTTTGGTAAGTCTCCAACCCCCAGAGGAGACAGGCTTCATGCCCAGACCCCTGAGCTTAAAACCACTGTCGGCCGGGCGCGGTGGCTCAAGCCTGTAATCCCAGCACTTTGGGAGGCCGAGACGGGCGGATCACGAGGTCAGGAGATCGAGACCATCCTGGCTAACACGGTGAAACCCCGTCTCTACTAAAAAATACAAAAAACTAGCCGGGCGCGGTGGCGGGCGCTTGTAGTCCCAGCTACTCGGGAAGGCTGAGGCAGGAGAATGGCGTAAACCCGGGAGGCGGAGCTTGCAGTGAGCTGAGATCCGGCCACTGCACTCCAGCCTGGGCGACAGAGCGAGACTCCGTCTCAAAAAAAAAAAAAAAAAAAAAAAAAAAAAAAAAAAAAAAAAAAAAACCACTGTCCGCCAAAATCTCTTAGCACAACCTTGGGCCAAGCCTATTTAACACTCTGCCTCTCTGTTTTCTCATCTATTGACCTCTTGTGCCATTGTGAAGACCAATTAAGAATGGCAGAGATTAACATACAGGGGGAGAAAAATCTTAGGGGTTGCCATTATTATTATTTGAGCCATAAACTAAAATCCAGGAATGTGGAATGAGGAAGTACTTGGGTTATACCTAACACTGTATCACTTGATATTAAAAATTAAAAATTAATTACTCAGGGATTTTTTTAAAAAGGGGGGGAAATCTGTCGTACAGAGATTGGACCCCAAGTTGTACTTTTAACTCCAATGTCTGATTTATCATCCTAATTAAATTGAGCCAAATCAATGTGAAGTCGAGTTCGCATTCTTCTTCGTATGCACATTCCAGACGGCCTAGAGATTGGGAAGGTTGGTTTTTTTTTGGGGGGGGTGTTATTTTTGTTTTTTGTTTTGTTTTTGGAGTTCGAGTATGCCAGGCATGGGAGGTTGTCAGGGTGTGGAGGACATCAGTGTGGGTACAAAATTTAATTGCTGGTGATCCACGTATCATGTACTGGGAATATCATTTAACCCCAAATGTCTCTGTTGAAGGGACGAGGGCTTTGTGCTTACATGGAACCAATGGGCTGTACACATGGGTCATCTTGCCCCGGCCATCGCACTGCTTCTAGGAATGAAATGTCCCAAGGGGATTATGCCCGCACAGCCCTGTATGCCAGTCTGTGAGCCCCAGAAATGAAGATCTCCCATTTTACCCTTCATTATTCAGCCTGGAGTGTGATTAGAGATTAGAGAAGGGACTTTTGGGAAAAAGCAGTCTGACTGGCCTTCTCTAAATCCGGTTGGAGGGGAGGAGAGAGCTTGGTGGCCCTCTGAAAGATGTTATTTTCTGTTCAGTACCATCTTCTGAAGGAAACCGGGTGTGAAGCGATGACACCCTCGGCAGCCTTTATGACTCCAGACTTTGAGATATTAAGAGGATCTGGGAGACCCTATACCTCTGCATCCAGTCTTGGGACAGAACCAGGATGATAGAAGGTGGGGAGGGCAACATCCAAAGGCAAACAGAAGTGTGAATGAGGTGGCTTTCCCTGTAAGTCCTTATGTTCAGCCACCATTTTCATCTCTAAGTTCTGGGTGCTAATTCAGACTTCAGGGAAGAAGCTACTGCTGGGTCCAGTCGCAGAGGCCCGGATCCCTTGCTTTCGAGTTAGTGTTGGATTCTGCCGAGGTCCCTAACTTGGTACCTGGTCTCAGCTTGTAAAGAGCTGCTGCAGCTACATGCTGCTCCACTAGATGGCGGTCACAGTCCAGTTCTTTCCGCGGAGCTCAAGTCAGAAATTCCGCCATCCTTGAAGAGCCCCTTTGGTGAGCATGCAGCCCTCAGTGCTCCTGTATAAGGGGACGATGCCTGGCGGTGGAATGAAAAGTAGAGGCTCCTTAGGTAATGTGTACAAAGATGCTCATCACAGGCTAACACGGTGAAACCCCGTCTCTACTAAAAATTAGCTGGGCGTGGTGGCAGACGCCTGTAGTCCCAGCTGCGCGGGAGGCTGAGGCAGGAGAATGGCGTGAACCCGGGAGGCGGAGCTTGCAGTGAGCCGAGATCGCGCCACTGCATACCAGCCTGGGCGACAGAACAAGACTCCATCTCAAAAAAAAAAAAAAAAAAAATCGCAAAATTATCTGCAACTTGGGAACTATCTGCATGTTCATGAATTGGGGAGTGAACTGTGTGGCTGGATAATTCATAAAATGGAATTAACATGCAGTTAAAATGAATGAACTATCTTTTTGTATATTAACATGGATAGACCTTGAAAAACACAATATTATGTTAAAAAAGTAAGTACAGTATAATATTTATGTAAATGTTGAAAACACATAAACCCAAATACGTATTTAAGAATTCAAAACCATGAACTGGAAGGATATCTTCCAAATTCATGTGATTGCTTCTGTGGAGGGCAGGAGGGGAATGGAACAGGGCAGGAGATGAAAGGACTTCAACATTAAGTGTCAAGTCTTTATTTTGTTCTTTAAATGATCAGATGCAAAAAAAATTACACTCGTGCTTATTCTGAGCTCATTAGATGGTACAGATAAGCCAATTTTCAAAATGAAAATCCATCTATAATCTCATCATGCAGTGATAGTCACTAATAACTTAGTCCCCCACCGTTAGCATGTAAGTCTCATGAAGACAAGGACTTTCTTGATCTTGCTCATTCTGTACAATGCCTAGCACAGCCCTGATGTACAGCAAATGCCCAGCAAATATTCTTAGCGAGTGAATTAATATTCTTCCGTGTTTTATAATACAAAAATTAGAATTGTATACAGCATTCTATTTTGTCCTCTGATTTTTACAATTAGCAATGCAGTATGGGCTTTTTCCTATGCTCAGTAAATATATTTCTTCAATAACATTTTCCATAGTGATCTAATTTTGAAAAATCTTATCAGTAAACAAACATTAATGTTCCCACCTTTGTTCTTGAAACAGTATATTAATATGTACATTAAGAACTTAATTAGATTTATTTAACCTGTCAGGTTGCTAGAAGGTCTTGATTAACTCACTAAGATCCCAAAGTGTAAACTTTCTTTGGCTTCTTTATGGAACAGAGGGGACAAAGTGTACTTCTAAGCCCTATGTTTCTGAATTATCATAAGGGTTCTAGAAAACAGCAGTATTGAAGGTCATGTCTTTTGATTAAGTATGGGGGGGTGTTATTTTTAAATGAAAAGTTTATTCTAGCAAAACTATCTTTATGCTGATATTGGACATATGAATCATAAATTAAAACAAGTGTTGACCCTGAACTTTGTTTTCAACAAAATCAAATGAACTCCAGTGGAGCTCTGAAATGACTGATGCCTTTATTTTTGAATGAATAATACACTTTTAAGTTCAGCCCTGTCAAAGACAAGAGACTTGACTGGACTGGCAATTCCCAAAGCCTGTTCTAGGAGCCTAGGCTGGGTGGGAAATCAATAGCAGGGACTCATGGCTCTGGCAGGAGCTGCTTCCAGGAGGCAGCACACTTGAGGCAGGACTGTGTTGCTTTGGGCACTGTCTGCCTCTGTCTTGCTCCCAGGAGCTCACATCCAGTTCCTGAACTTCTCCACCGAGCCCAACCATGACTACATCGAAATCCGGAATGGCCCCTATGAGACTAGCCGCATGATGGGAAGATTCAGCGGAAATGAGCTTCCGAGCTCTCTCCTCTCCACGTCCCACGAGACCACCGTGTATTTCCACAGCGACCACTCCCAGAACCGGCCAGGATTCAAGCTGGAGTATCAGGGTAAGGAAAAAGAGCACCGCCTTTACTTCTCTGTCTATCCCCATCTCTTACCCCAACCACCCACCTTCCCAGCCTTCCATGGGGAGGACAGAACACCGGAAGGGGTGGGTTGCAGTGGCAGATCCAGCCAGGGAAGCTTCCTTTTGGTGGCAGATCACTCCAGCCCCCATGGCCATCTAACCCCATTTGGCAGCTTAAGTTCTCCCACAGCCTTTTCAAGAGTGGCAGGCCCAGCAGCACCCTCTGAGGCTCCCAATCTGTACAGTTATCCCTGGGCAAGTGTCCCATCTGTGCCTTCTCAGGTATCCCCAAGTGTCCAGCCGGTCACTTCCCCTTGGGCTTGATAAACTGAATTACTTCCCCAGAGTCCTTCCCTGCACATCAAGCCCAATTACTCTCAGCAAAGCTCTTCCTATGACAATAATGGTCCCAAGGGCACCTCTAAGCCTTGCACAAGGAGCAGGTTTTCCTGTGAGGCCCAACCACACTCACCACAGCTCTACCTCCCTGAGGTGGGATCCCGTGACAGGCCCCACTCCTTCCGGCACATTCCCTGGAAACAGCCCCATCTACACTCAGGTTCCCCTGTGTTGTGGACCATCCATTACCTGTGGATGTGGAGATTGTGCCCAACCTGTGCAACTGTACATGGTGGTCCTGAGTAAGCCCAACATCTCACTTGGATGCTTCCCTTATTGGGACTGACTGAAGCATTTGTTCTAACCCCTTTCTCAGATTCTTCCACTGAACTTTAAAAAATATTTTTAGATTTTTTTTTCCAAAACTAATTCATGTTTGTTAAAAAAAAAAAAAAAATCTAAACACTGTAGATAATTTTGTGAGCACATTGTGTTAGCTCAGGCTGCTGTAACAAAATACCATAAGCCAAATGGCTTATAAACAACAGAAATTTATTTGTCACAGTTCTGAGGGCTGGGAAGTCCAAGATCACAGTGCCAGCAGATTCCATGTCTGGCGAAGACCCACTTTCTAGTTCATAGACAGTATCTTCTCACTGCATCCTCACATGGTAGAAGGTGCAAAAGAACTGTCTCAGGCCTCTTTTATAAGGGAATTAATCCCATTTATGAGGGTAGGCCACCAAAGGCCCTGCCTTCAAATACCCTCACATGGGGGTTTAGGTTTCAACATAGGAATTTGAGGGGACAGAAATATTCAGGCCCTAACACCCATCACAGAAAGTCAGAATCCTCCCATAATCCCACCACATCACTACCCTATGCAGATATATACACTTTCAACAATTCAATATATATTCCCCCCTTTTTTCAGTATATATATTGCTGTAGCTATATTTTTAGCCAAAATTGGATCGTACTGTAGTTTTGCAGTTTTGTTTTTTAAAGTTAATTTTTAATTACACAAACAATTTACAAACATATTCATCTTGTTTTAAAAAAGAAAAATACAAGAAAGAAATTAAAACCTTACAAGTTAGGCCAAAGCTCTTTGTCTACAGCCTCCAAACCCAGGATTATTCTCCAGAAACAGCTACTATTGTTTAGGTGTGACCTTTCCAGGCCTAGATATATATATGCTACGTGTACCTGTGAAAACTATGTAACATTTTATAAAATTTTTTGAGCATGTTTTCTATATAAAAAGTACCATCCTATATGCAGCTTTCTGAGACTTGACTTCTTTATTCTGGAAATAATATGGTGTGGATGGAGCTCCTCCCTTGCCAGAGAAGAATACTGAGCGGGGACTGGGCATGTCATTTAGGGAAAGCCTTAAAGGGCATCCCACGAGGTGGGTGCAACTGAATCTGTTCTACAGGAGACTTCAGGGTTCCGGGGTCCATCTCAGGGTAAACTTTGGTGAATGTGGCTGGGCTTGTCACCTAGAGGGAGCCTCAGAAGTTGGGCCTTACACCCAGACAGAGTCACTTCACTGGTGTTAGTACAGCTGCCACACCCAGGGAAGGTGTGTGCAGGCTCATCACAGAGGCCAGCCTTGCCCGAGGATGTCTGTGCCTATTATCTGGGAGGTGTGTACCTGTCAAACAGGTCATGATGCTTCGGATGGCTGTGATGTCACAGGAGGGACTTGGTCCCAAATATGTCCTCTCAGAGTCAGATGCAGTGCGTTCCCCCAAGGCGTTCCCTGTTTGTCAGGGCTACTATAAGAAAGTACCACAAACTGGGTGGCTTAAACAACAGAAACTTACTGTCCAGTGGCTCTGGGCCTGGATGTTCAAGACCAAGGTGTCAGCAGAGTTGGTTCCTTCTGAGGCCCATGAGGGAGACTCTGTCCAGGCCCCTCCCTTGGCTTCTGGTAGTTCGTGACAATCTTGGATTCTCAGCTCTTAGAAGTATCACCCCGGCCTCTGGCTTCATCTTCACTTGGTGCTCTTCATGTGCCTCTGTCTCCAAATTCCCACCTTCTATAAAGATACCAGTCATGCTGGATCAGAGCCCACCCTAGTGACCTCATTTTAATATCCATAAGTTTGGTAAAGATCCTATCTATTTCCCATAAGGTCATATTCACAAGGAGTGAAGTCTTGAGCATATGAGTTTCGGGAGACACATTTCAGCCCCTTGCACCCCTGCCAGGCCCAAGTGCTCTCTCCCTGAGACCTTCCCTCTCTGATAAATATAAGGAATAGTGGTGCCACCATTGTGCCAGGGACAGCTGCGTTGGGCCCACCCAGTGCACTGTGCCTTAACCCTAGACAACAGGCACAGTCGTGCCACTGAATCCCTGTGATGGGACTGGCCACTCACTGTGCTCCACGTGTGATGAGCCCACTTGTCCTTGTAAAAATCATCCCTGTGTGGCCACTTCAGATTCTCCATTGACTCCCCCAACAGAAGAGGCCTAACTACCCCCACAGAGCCCTGGCCTTGGGCTCACTCGCCCCTGCTTCCCCAGCCCCCACCTTGGGAAATGCTGCCACAATGGCCACCCTGCACAAGGGGCCCCTCTGTCCCCCTGAGGTTTCCTGGACGACAAGCCAACATTCAGGGCTAGCGTGCCTCCCTGGGATGGGCCTGTCTCTGCTGCTGAGGTTTGCAGCCTCCAGAGGCCCAGTCCTCCTCTGAAGACTTTGCCTGTGTAGGAAGGCCAGGGGGCAGCGAGTTGCCTTCAGACACCCAGCTCCTCCACCAGGAGTTGGCCCAACGTGTGAGAGGCACAGCAACGTCCAACGGGGCTTCCACCCTGTAATGGGCCCCCTCCTCCCACAAGTGTGTGACCTTCAGGACTCGCCTAGATGTTCGCCTTCAGTCCCAGGCCCAGCTACTCCCTCAGCGTTCACCTGTCTGCCACAGTCCCAAGGACTCCTGTGGAGCCACACATGGTGCCGGGGCACCTGCCCCACTCAGACTTGGGCTACACCCCCATTAAGGCTTCTCATTTGAGGTGATCCCAACCTCTCGGGCTAGGTTGTCTCTAGGGCCAGAGGCCTAAGTACTCCCACAGAGACCTCATCGTTTGTGATAGGCCCAAATAATTCTCCCTGACCATAAGCCCACACTCTCCGTTTACACCTTCCTCTGCCATATGGAGCTGCACCTTGTAAGCAAGCTCTGACCACTCTCCCCAGGTTTTTTCTCTGGGGACAGACCCAACTCTCTATGGCCCCTCAACTTTCCTTAGAAGTCCAACTCTTTACTCTTTCTCAAAATTCCTCCAACTGACACTCTGCACTTCCCATGCTAGGGTCTTCTTTTCTCTTCTTCGAGTAAAGATTCCCATTAAGTTCTTAGTGGCAGCATAAAGAACTCCTAGCCAGGCCTCCCGGTCCTACATGCTTAATGTGTTCCATGACAATTTCTCAGGAGGGTTCTGTTTATAAAGAACTTGGGGAAATAGCTAAGACGTACAACTGTCCCCAAATGCTAGGCATCATCATCATTAATGTCTTAAAATAATGTCATTTTGGTTGAAATGGTGTCTACCTGATTATGGCACTATTTGGAAGCGTGTTCCCACTGTCACCACTTGTGTCCCTTTAGGACAAACCCACCTGCCCCCGTGAGGAGTCCTTCTTTGGGGAAGTTCATGCTTCCTCCTCTTAGGGTTTATTTCTGCCTTATATGGCCAACCTCTCCCTTTGAAGCTTCTTCCAGGGGAACAGGCTCTGAGGTTTCTCTCAGTGTCGAGGTACTCTCACTGAAGTTTCTGTCTTTTTGAAGAGCCTAGATCCTTCCACTGGAGATGATTCCTGTAGGAGAGGCCCAGCTGCTCTCATCAAGGCTGCTCCTGGCTTCTCACACACAGCCACTCCCTTCATTCTGTCCCCATCTCTAGGTCCACATGGTTACCCTGAGCCTTTCTGCAAAGACCCAACCCATCCCATTGGGTTGCCTCCCTGGGCAAAAGGTTCCCTGCTTTCGCTAAGACTTTCATTGCCAAATGGCCCAAACCCCGGTGCCGCAGGGCCAGGCCTGTCCTGGGGCTGAGCAGCCGCCCCACCCATGTGGCTGCACCCAATTACCTCGATGATTTCCCAGGAAAACCTGCCCAATTCCTCCCCTGAGACTTCCCTGTGAGGTACTGAATGGAAACACAGCCACCATTATCACGTGAGCGCTTAGGAAATGTTAGCTTCGAGATCCGTGTTATTGACGTTGTTATTACGTATAAGAAACACATCTATTTCCAAGGAGCATCCAGCCAGTCCCAACTACTTCCACCGAGGATTCCCATTGTAGGAACATTCTTTCCCCTCCCACTGCCAATTTCCTGAGTGGAGTGGGCCCAATTACTGCCACAAAGGCTGTTCTGTGTCCTGTGGACCCAATTCATCAAAGGCCTTGCTCAGGAATCTCTCACTGGCCTCTCCCTGATGGACTGACCTCAGCTGCTTCCACGGAGGCATCTCCTATAGAATCAGGCCACCCACTCTCATGGAAGCAGCTTCCCTGCTCTTTGAAGGGACTTGCTTTATGACAGTCACACGTCCCATAGCCCAGCTACTCCCTCTGAAAAGCTTCTCACCTTGCCACAGATTTGACTTACTCCCACCAGATTTCTTCCTTCCTGAGAGGTTTTGATCTCTCGGAGTTGGAAAGAACCAACTCAACTCCGCCCGTCGCCGCTTCCTATGTCTGGGAACTTGATCCTGGTTGTGAAGGTTCAATGAGATAAGCAACATGAAAGGAGTTAGGCCAGCGCCTGGCCCCCAGTGGCGCTCGGTGAATAGAGGTTCAGTTGAGCAATGTCTTCCTTGAGTCTTCTTTTCCTATGGAATTACTAATAATAGATACTATTTACTGAGCTTTCACCATGTGCCAGTACTGTGGAAAGAGCTATGTATGTGTTATCCTACGTAGTCCTCAAAATAATCATTCTATACACAGGAAAACTGAAGCGTACAGAAGTTAAATTACTTACCCAAAGCCAACGACTCGTACATGACAAAGGTCCATCTGAGTCCAAGTCTTGAGGCTTTACCACTATGCTCTCTGCCACTCCTATTTTCTGGTCGGAGAGAATAAAGCAACTTTTTCTTCCAATCTTTTCCAGCCTATGAACTTCAAGAGTGCCCAGACCCAGAGCCCTTTGCCAATGGCATTGTGAGGGGAGCTGGCTACAACGTGGGACAATCAGTGACCTTTGAGTGCCTCCCAGGGTATCAACTGACTGGACATCCTGTCCTCACATGTCAACATGGCACCAACCGGAACTGGGACTACCCCCTGCCCAAGTGTGAAGGTATGTCCCTCCCTCATCCCCAGCAGTTCTTCCTCAGGTGCTCGTAGAGACTGGTCCAGAGCAATCCCCTGTTCCACCTGCCTGCTCCATGGGATCTCCAGGGCTGGAGGTCCAGGCAAACCATGGTCCATCCTGTTTTCACATGGTGTGGCCCGGCGTCTCCACGGAGAGGGTCCTGGTGACAGGGCTCTGGGCCAGCACTAGGGAGGACCTGGAGGAGACGTAGGCCACAGCCAAGAGGAAGACATACCCAGCCCTGGGGAAGATCCACCCTGACAGGCTGGAGGACCCCCACTGGAAGGGAAGGTTCCACGTGAGGGAGTGGGAGCCCAATGTGTGCTGAGGGCTGGAGAGGTAGAGTTAATCCAGGCACCTTCCCAAAGGGAGAAGAGGATGAAGCCTCTTTCTAAGAACTCTCTTGCTCCCCTCTTCATCTTCCCCCTCCCTGCCCCATTATACTCTCCTCCTACACGGGACTGGAGAGACCTGAGTTGATCTGTCAGGGAGCTGGAGGTGGCACTTCCTTGGGTCTTCTTCCTTACCCAGAACCGGGATGGAAGGTGACCAAGAGCTTGTGCTGCCTCCACCCTCATCTGCATACTTCAGTTCCATTTGCCTTCCCTCTTCATTCTGGCAGCCCAGCATTTTCCTGGAGGAGAGGCAGGAATTTGTCTTGAAAGAGGAAGCCTTAGCAAGGGCAATAACCCAGGAAAGAGTGCTCCAGGTCTGGGATCAGATTACCCCAGGCTCCAACTCAAACCCCTTTGCCTCTCTGAGCTTCAGGTTCTTCCTCAGTAAAATGGAACTTCTCATCTATATTTCACAAGAGCTGAAGGATTTCACAGATGGCTCACTCTCAGACTCAAACTCTCAGTTTAACTCTCAATGGAAAGAGGGACCTTGTTTGCGAAACTGAGCTGTTCTGGTGTTGGAATGTAAAACTGTGATTTCTAAAACTATTATAGCCTCAGTTCATTTTTCAGATTTTCAGAGCTCTGCTATGCATAACCAGTGGGTCATTCCACAATTGTTGCCCCATCACGTGCTGTGCAACAAGCCTCATCGTGGGCTTTCTTCCCTTCTCATGCCTTGTTTGTCTTTTTATGGCATAATGGGAGAGAGAAAAGAGCAGCGCTTTCTCAGTCTGCTGGCTTGAGCCAGAAGCTCCTCTTCTTCCTCAGAAACCTTCTTCCCTTGGCTTCTCTGACACCATACTCTCTTGCTTTCTCCCATGTCCCTTATGGCAAATTTTAAGCTGCTTGATATAGCACACATGACCCTTAGGTTAGGGCCTAGCCCCTGCTGACCTCCCATATTCTCCACTATTACAGATTTTATGTTCCAGCTAAGCTGAAATACTTGGTTTTCCAGTGTGCCATGTTTTCTTGCCTCTGGGTCTTAGCATATGTTGTTCCTTTCCCATACAGCATTCCTCTCTCTTACCTTGCCTACTTAGCCCTAGTCATCCCTTAGGTCTGAGTATAAATGTGAATTATACCAAGAATCCAAGTCCAGGCGCAGTGGCTCACGCCTGTAATCCCAGCACTTTGGGAGGCTGAGGCGGGTGGATTACAAGGTCAGGAGATCAAGACTATCCTGGCTAACACGGTGAAACCCCGTCTCTGCTAAAAATACAAAAAATTAGCCAGGCGTGGTGGCGGGCGCCTGTAGTTCCAGCTACTCGGGAGGCTGAGGCAGAAGAATGGCATGAACCTGGGAGGCGGAGCTTGCAGTGAGCCGAGATCGCGCCACCGCACCCCAGCTTGGGCGACAGACCGAGACTCCATCTCAAAAACAAAAACAAAAACAAAAAAAATCCTTTCTTACAAAACCAGATGCAGGGCTCCCCCAAACACCCCTGTGGCATTCACAATGATGACATGGTCCAGCCTGTGCTACAGATGCTGGTGTGTTTGGCTGTGTCCCAGTAGTGTGCATGCCTGGGACAGAACTAGAGTACCTTGCTCCCCACTGTCTCCCAGGCAGTGCCTGGCACCCAGGAGATATTCAGCTTATGTAGCAGGGATGGCATGTACCTGTGTACCACTTTCAGGATGTATGTGCATTCACAGGACCCCTGGCCTCTGCTTGGAGTCTATTGGGATTCTCTCTCAGTCTAGTCTGCCCCGTCCAGATGTCTGCTCGATGCCCCATGTCAGCTACAACACTCATTATTCTGGACCATGGTGTTTGGGGATTTTTGTCCACCATCCCTGTCTGTTTTCCTCCCTGGTGACTGACTTTGAATACCATGAAGATGTCAAAGTCTCTTCATCCCCCTGCCTGAGGCCTAAATCAGTGAGACTAAAATTGGGTGTTGCTTTTGGGGAACAGGAAGATAAGGAGAGAGGATCTTATCTACATAGCAAATGCCTCCTCTTCCGGCGCCTGGACTGAACATTTTGCCTGCATTGTTTCACCTCATCACCACCACAATCCTATGGGGGAGGTATTCTTAGTCCCATTTTACAGGCGAGGAAATGGAGACTCAGAGAGGCTGAATTACTTATCTAAGAGTATCTGCTCAATAAATGGTTCAGCTATGATTTGAACCCAACCTTAGCCTCACCCCAGGAACCCTCAACTCAAAGTCTAGACCACTAGTACCATTCTAGAAAGAGCAGATCAAAGAAAGAAAGATTTTCCCAATTTGTTAGCTCTTCCCAGCAAAAGCACTGCAGCTCTGACCCTAACATCGGCTTCCTCCCATTGCTGGGAAGGGAAAGGGGACAGCTTCAGTGCATCCTTTCTTCTTGGCAGTTCTCTTCATAAGAAAGAGAAAGAGGGAGGCTGAGGCAGACACACAGAGGGGCCTGCAGTGACAGTTGAGAGCTAGCCAGGGTGTTCTGTGTGGGGACTGGTGGGTAGAAACAGGTGTGGCCATCGTCAGCTTGGCCTCCCCTCCCACATCCCACCTGACCTCCCTGACAGGATGATTAGTTCTAGGAGCTGGGAGTTCCTCATGAAGCCATCTGAATTCTTAGGTGGGTACCGAGGCCCTGCACTTACGTTTGTGTTCCCTTCTTGGCAGTCCCTTGTGGCGGGAACATCACTTCTTCCAACGGCACTGTGTACTCCCCGGGGTTCCCTAGCCCGTACTCCAGCTCCCAGGACTGTGTCTGGCTGATCACTGTGCCCATTGGCCATGGCGTCCGCCTCAACCTCAGCCTGCTGCAGACAGAGCCCTCTGGAGATTTCATCACCATCTGGTAGGCCAGGTGCCATGTCAACAGCCAATTAGATAAGAGCATTAGTGGGGTTCTACACTGGGTTACCCGTCAGTTATCTACTGGTTTAGAAAAACCAAGAACTGAGTGGTTTTAAAGGCTGTCAGCCTCCTGGGTTTCAAATAAACATAGTGGAATGGGGCTCAGCTGCAATGGGCCATTATGGCTCCTTGAAGGGAGAGGAATGGGAGGGCAGTGGCTCCCAGCCTGCAGCCCCGCCAGGGCCAGGGAAAGTACCAACAGGTGTGTTAACAGGAGTAGGCATGGGTACACAGACTTTTCTTAGTATTTCCAGAGTTCAAACCAACATTCTACATGTACCTGGGCTCAGCCACCCAGACTAATTGAAGAGATTTGAAGTGAAATTTTGTGATGTCCCATTGGTCATATGGTGCTGAGCCAGCACTTTTCAGCAGAACTTTCTGCAGTGATGGAAATGTTCTATGTGTATGCTGGCCAATATGGTAGTCACTGGCTACAGAGCATTTGGATATGACTGAGGATCTGATTTTTAAACGTTATTTAATCTTGATAATTTAAATGTAAATAGCCATGTGTGGCTGGCAGTGGCTGAATTGGACAGCTCAGCTCTGAGTTATGTAGTTATATATAACAAGAGTTAATTTTAAATTGGGAATACAAATTAGCATTTGATATGTGCAGTTCCCTGGACAGTTTCTTCCCAAACCACTGGATCTGTGGAAGAGCACATAATTTTAAAATTCCTTCGTTTGGTGGTTACTGCCATTCTGGGAATCATCAGGGGTTAGGGGAATTCTCTTCCAAAATTCCCAGGGCTTGGATAACTGTAACCAGACTGCCCCAGGTTAAGTTCCAGCATGATTTCCAAGCAATGGCTAGGAACAGATAGGAGGGGTTAGATAAGGTTTCAGGGAAGAAATCCTTTGCCCCAGAAGGCATTGTGGGTATACTCTTTGCTTGGAAGACAAGGAAATGGAGCCAGTGTGCATAGCAGCAGGTTCCTACACCAGCTCCTGAGCCCTGTCCTAGTGCTGCCCCAGACTGAGAGGACCTGTGGTAAGACCCACACCCTTGCTCCATGGAGCCTGAATTTCCCCCAGGAGCCCATTGGGCTGGTGAAGAATCAGGTGAATGAGGAATCAGTGTGAGCTTCACCGATTCTATCAACTATGTTGGGAGACCAAGTTGGGAATGGTTGGGAGAGGTGTCTAGGGCATGGTGTGGGGAAGTTTGGTACAAAAAGAATCATAGCTTCCCACTCCAGGTCTGTCCTAAGGCCACCGATGTCACTAAGTGGAACAGGCAGCTGTGATGACTAGTGATATGCCAGGACCTTATTTCCTATGTACAGGGATGGGCCACAGCAAACAGCACCACGGCTCGGCGTCTTCACCCGGAGCATGGCCAAGAAAACAGTGCACAGCTCATCCAACCAGGTCCTGCTCAAGTTCCACCGCGACGCAGCCACAGGGGGAATCTTCGCCATAGCTTTCTCCGGTCAGTATGGAAACCTGGCCTGGTGGGAAGGGCCAGGCTTTCAAGTCAAGGCTGAGCTTGACTCCCAGCTCCACCATTTGCAGATCAAGTGACCTTGAGTGAGTTGAATAATCTCTTGGAGCCTCAGTGTCTTCAGAGTTATGAGAATTAAATGTATTAGCCTATGTGAGAGCTCTCAGCGCAGGGTTCTGTAAATGCAAGTTTTCCTCCTATTCCACACTGCCAGGGCAGAGAGGCACAGAAGCCCAATCCTTGGTGCCAAGTCCACTCATTCATATCAACTCACTGGCTGAGTCGTCCCTATACCTATGCCCCAGCTTGTCCCTTAGCATTTTCTAGCACGATCTCCCTCTCCAAAGGGATCTAGGGCCTCTGCTGACCTCTCAAGGAGCACTGTGTTTTTGTGCACAAATGAAGGCATTGTGATTTCGAGTAGGAAGAGTATGAACAATTCAGGGTAGGTATGTCTTTACTGGTAGCCTGTTTTCTTCTACGAGTCCCAAGTTAGGGATCTGGATATTTCCTCATTTTTATTATAGTGGAATTGCCTAGAGAAACTTATAGAATGTTCTCTGTGGACTTGTGCCCTTCTATGGAATGATGCACATATTTGCAGTTTACAGATCACTGCAGATATTTTAACCAGAAATCAGGAAAGCTGGATTTTATTCCCAGCTCCACCTGGGGCCAGCTGTGTGAAACCTTGTACAGGTCCCTTCCCCACTTGAGACCTCAGTTTCTTCACCTGTAGAATTACAGGTTTGGAGTTTGTGACCTGTAAGAATTCTGTGAGGTAGTAAGGCAAATATCCTTACCCCCATTTTACAAATGAAGAAATGGGGCAAAGGAAGGCTCAAGTACTTGCCCAAAACCATGTAGATAGAACTGGAAACAGAACCCAGCCCCTGCAGTATGTGTTACAGTATCTGCTCTGGTGTGACTATACAGTGTTACTACATCATGCATGCACTCGCAGAAACACACTAAGACTGTGAAAGAGGCAGTGAAAGAAACAGAAACTGACAGAGAGAAACAAGGATGTAAAGAGCCTAAGTAGCTGTGATTGCCATTCCCAGGAGCTATCATCCAGGGTGAGTGCAATGTGGGAATGAGACTCTGCCCTCTCCATCTGCTCAGTTCCCATGCCCCTCTTGTTGGGCACACTTGTCGCTCCACTAATGAGATCCAGGCTTTAAGGCTCTGTCATTTTGACTTGTGACTTTCCTATAGAGTGATAGAGTATGGACTTCAGAGTCACAGACAGGTTCAGACCTTGGCTCTGACACATACAAGCTATGTAACCTTGTCTGTTGTTTCACCTTTCTGAGCCTCAATGTTATTATGCACAAAATAGGAATAATATAAGTACTTAACCTCCTAGAGTTAAATGAAACAATGCTTGGAAATCCTTAGCTCTAGGCACAGAGTACAAAAGATGATTAGTAAATTATAGTTCTAATAGTTGTCATTGTCATGATTATTTGCATTATATTTAGATATTGACAGTCTTGGTGTGAAGTTACCTTGATGCTAGGCCAGGTCTCTTGTTCCTATTCCTGAGCCCTCACCTGTACCAGAACCAGGTAAAGGAGGCTCAGCACAGCCCCAGGCCATCCTTATTTCCAAGTTCTTCTCAGTAAGGTCTTTCAGTGAGAGTGCTTGCCTAAGGGCATAGTGCTCCTTCTGTCTCTCAGATGAGACATAAGGCCCTTGCTATGGTGTAAATGCTTAGGTCCCCCCAGAATTCATATGCTGAAATCCTAACCCCCAAGGTGATGGTATTAGGAGGTGGGGCCTTTGGGAGGCAATTAGGTCAGACAACAGAGCCCTCATGAATGGGATTAGTGCCTTTATAAGAGACCTACAGAATCACTGCTCTGAAGCCTTCTCAGTGGAAAGAGCTAGGAAACACAGAGGCCCAGGCGGGTGGATCACCTGAGGTGAGGAGTTCAAGACCAGCCTGACCAACATGGAGAAACCCCATCTCTACTAAACATACAAAATTAGACAGGTGTGGTGGCACATGCCTGTAGTCCTAGCTACTCAAGAGGCTGAGGCAGAAGAATCGCTTGAACCCAGGAGGCAGAGGCTGCAGTGAGCCAAGAGCATGCCATTGCACTCCAGCCTAGGCAACAAGAACAAAACTCCGTCTCAAAAAAAATAAAATGAAAATAAAGAAAAGAAAAGAAACACAGGAAACTCATGTGCCCCTTTCACCACATGAGGACACAGCATAAAGACAGCTGTCCATGAAACAGTAAGCAGGCCCTTATCAGACATCAAAATTGCCAGTCCCTTCAACTTGGACTTCCCAGCCTCTAGAACTGTGATGACTAAATTTCTGTTGTTTAGAAGTCACCCAGTCTATGGTAATTTGTTATAGCAGCCTGAATGGATTAAAACAGCCATTCATTCCCAGCTTAGACCATAGCCCAAGGCTTCATTGACCACAGGAGCAGGCAAGGGTCTGGGGCAAGAGAGGAGGAACTGCTGTGCCCAGATCAGCAGGTTCAAGTGGGAGAGGCACTGGACTAGGGGATGAGTGAGCAAGAGAGGCACATTCCATGCCTCATAGAACTTTTGGTAAGTTGTGGAATATATCCTACATATAAAAAGTATATGTAACACGTATGTGCAGTTTAAAGAGTAATAAAATGAACACCATCGTTGAGCCTAAGACAAAGAACACCTACGCCTTGGAAGCTCTGTTCCTTCCTCAAGACATTCCCCTACCCTACCCTGAGAGTTAACCATGATCCTGTACTTTCAGTTAATCATTCATTGCTTTTCTTTTTATTTTACTCCATATGTGTGTCTCCAAAAATATGTTGTTTAATTTTGCATGTTATTTCTGTTACGTAAAGACAATCATTCTATAAATGTTCTTCTGCAACCTTCTTTTCTCACTCAAAACTGAGTTTTTGTTGGTGCATGTGACTATACTTAACTCATTTTTCAATGCTGTATGATTTCATTGCATGAAAATATAACAATGTATTTAGTCTACTGTTAACACTTAAGTTGTTTCATTTCAAGCAATATGAACATTGTTGCTTATTCCTTATTGTGAACACCTACAAGGGTTTCTCTTCAGTACATGTCTGTGTGGAGTTGTGAGATTGTAAATATCCACGTATTTAGTTTCACTAGGTAATGCCCAATTTATCTTAGAAGCAGTTATAACCATTTACACTCTTCCCAGCAACTGAAATAGAGTTCCTATTGCTCTACATCCTTGAAAACACGGGGTTTTAGCAGACTTTACATTTCTACCAGTCTGGTAGATGCATGAAATGTCATTTCACTTGTGTGCTTGTGATGAGGCAGAGCATGCTTTCCTGTGTTACTGAGTGTTCATGCTTCCTGCTCTGTGAAATGTCTGCTCCCCAGACAGCTTTCCTGCTCCAAGGAGAGAGAGATAATGAGTAACTAAGAGGACAAAATTTTTGTGAATCATAACCAATGCTACAAAAGACATAAAAGGATAAGATAGTAAACAAAAACTTGGAGAATTCCATGCAAAGTAATTGTGGAAAACCTAAAAGTGGATATTCAAGATAAGAACTAAAGAAAAAAAGGAGCTAGACTTGCAAAAAGTGGACACTGAAAGTGGGGCTGGGGAAAGAATTTTTGCCTTTCTCCAGGCAAACAGCCCTAAGGAACTTTCTTTTCATATGAGGATCAATAAGAAAAAGGAAAAACACCTTAAGGAGACCTGTGAAAGATTTTATAACATTAAAAATTAGAACATGAAATTTGAATTACAGAGAAAAATGCCCTTGAAGAAAACATGGTTTAGGAACTAGAAGTAATAGAAATAAATTTGAGGAAGCATCTTCTAGTATAAATCTAGATAACATAGACTCCAAATAACAGGTGAAATGTTCAGACAGCACACAAATGAAAAGAAAGGTCTGGCCAAGAGATAAAGAAAAGCTAAATCTCTTCCCTTCCCCCCTTGAACAATTCAGTCCTAAAGCTGTGAGTTGGGACAAAGCAAAGACATCTAATATGGTTTGGTTGTGTCCCCACCCAAATCTCATCTTGAATTGTAGTTCCCATAATCCCCATATGGCGTGGGAGGGACCAGGTGGAGATAACTGAATCATGGGGGCTAGTTTCCCCCATCCTGTTCTCATGATAGTGAGTTAGTTCTCACAAGATCTGGTGGTTTTATAAGGGGCTTCCCCGCTTCGCTGGGCTCTCATTCTTCTCCTTCCTGCTGCCATGTGAAGAAAGACATGTTTGCTTCCCCTTCTCCCATGAGTGTAAGTTTCCTGAGGCCTCCCCAGCCATGCTGAACTGTGAGTCAATTAAACCTCTTTCCTTTATGAATTACCCAATCTCAGGTATGTCTTTATTAGCAGTGTGAGAACAGACTAATACAGCATCCATACTTGTCAGGCAAGAGGGAGTGTGAACCACTGTAGCCCAGGCTGGGGTGTCAGGGGGAGCCACACTGATGGGCTGCCTGGCATGGGCAACTGCAGTTTAGGTATCTGTACAGGGATGGAGCTGACACAAGGTGTCAGAGCTCTGTGCAGGATGAGCAGACACCTATGTAGGGTATTGGAGCCCAAGCAGAGGAAGTCGGGCATCCACACAGAGAAAGATCAGCCCAGCAAAGGAAGTCAGAGCCCAAGTAGAGTGAGGAGGGAGGGGTCAGCAGAAATGAGACCTTGGTTCCAGATGAGTTATTGATCAAATAAGTTAATACCTTAAGGACAATAGAAGGCAGGTGTCTCACTGTCAGAGAAGAGGGTTAGAACTATATAGAGAGCAAAGATTATAATATACCCAATGGTGTTAAATTTGAATTGGATGTATCAGTGTGAACTTGTGGTTTTCAATGTGTAGAGAAATGGAAGAAAATATGAGTGTGTGGGTGGGGCATGTATGAGTACATGTGCGTATGCACATACATTTCTTAGCTCTTTCTACTGAGAAGGCTTCAGAGCGGTGATTCTTCAATAGTAATAAGCACATCTAGCTCATTAGTT